GTAGTAAAACACTGGAACAGGTTACCCAGAGAGGTGATGGAATCTCCATCCTTGGAGGTTTTTAAGACCTGGCTAGACAAAGCTTTGGCTGGGATGATCTAGTTGGGGATGGTCCTGCTTTGAGGAGGGGGTTGGACTAGATGACCTTTTTGATGACCATTTGAGGTCTCTTCCAACCCTAATTTTCTATGATTCTATGATTTTCTATGACTCTAAAAGATCTCTATGGGATGACTGAAGTGGCCCTTAACTTTAACTTTTCCTCTCTTTAACCGAGAGGGAAAAGAGAATTATGCACTTTGGGCATTTGGTCCAAAGGCTGAAAATATCGTGTCACCTGATATTCATGGCAGTTTATTGTTTGTTATTTCAGTCATATACAACATACAATTATTTTTCTTCTTGATTGTTTCAAATTAGTCTCAGATTACAACCAAGATGAATTAGCATGATATAATTTTTAGTACATCGTGAAGTGATTTAGCCATGTGATGAATTCCTTTGTTGTTATCACCCTCAAAAGTGTCCCCAGGTGTCTCAGCCCATAGAAAAGAAGAGCACTTTATATCTCAAATATAATAATAAGATGGCAAATACCTTATTTACATGCAAAGCTCAGTTGTTCCACACTCATTAATTGTGAGGCAATCAGATATCTACTTGAAAGCAGTGTATTAAGCCTGTGGTACCTTAATTTATGTATTTCATTTGGTATTTAAGGAGGAGCCATGTAAAGGGAAAGGCCTTAACTAGCCCTGGTTTTGGATTCACATAACTCCTGGCTTCTCTGGAGAATATCAGGATTAGGGTTGGAGTTGTCTCAAGTTCAAATTTCTTATGGGCGTGTCCACACAAACAAGCACATGCACTTGCAGCTGCTCAAATAGAAGCAGTGCAAATTTGAGCCAGGGTTTTTTGCTTCAGCGCACGTGCTCGGACATGCACTTTGTTGTGCAGCAAATTGTGCCACTTCTAGCAAAATAACCCTGACTGGCTCCTCCCAGATCTTCAGCCAGGGGGAACTAGAGCCTGGGGCCAGCACCTGTGCTGTCCCCAGCAGTATAAAAAGCTGCCCTGTCCTGGCCCCTGCAGTGTAAAAAGCCACCCTGGAAAGTGGCTCAGGGCTACTAGCTCTCAGGAGCTTCTGGGGCTCAGCCAATTGGTACCTGAGGACACTACCCCTTGTGCCAGCTGGACTGCTGAAGCAGCCTGAGAGTTCCCTGCACCCTCTACCCACTGCAGCAGTCTGGCAGAGGGGGATGCTGCCTGGCTATGACCTGCTGTGCACCTGCCAGACTTGGATGGGGATTGCACAGCCAGTAGAAGCCTCTTC